GGTTGCCCAGAGAGGTGGTGGAGTCTCCTTCGCTGGAGATATTCAAAAGCCGTCTGGATGTGATCCTGGGCAATCTGCTCTAGGTGACCCTGCTTGAGCAGGGAGGTTGGACTAGATGATCTCCAGAGGTCCCTTCCAACCTAAACGATTCTGTGATTCTGTGAGGACAGCGGGAGGTGAAGCGGCTCCCCGCGCCGCTACCTGCCGGGACCGGGGCCCTGCCACGCGGCGGCGGCAGCGCTGCTTTCGCTGCGCGGATTTGCTTTCTTGAAAGCTGTTTCGAAGCGAGGCGTTTCGAACTACGCTGGGAGTTATTTCGTTGCAGTTTGGGGCCCAACTCGCAACAACTCCTTTCACAGAATAAAGATGGTGTTTTGCTTTTGCCATGAGGACGCTTGGATAAAGCAGTGAAACCCAGGCAGCTGCCGGCTGGGCTGCGCCAAGCAACTGAAATAATGGAAAAGAAAGAAGAGAGCACACAATGGTTCTAGTTGCAGACTTAGAAAGAATAATAAAAAAGCTAAAAAAAAAAAAAGTCACCGCTATCAAACTTCTGCCTTGCACACACAAAAAATGACTTCAGAAAAGGTCAGGAAACCTGACAGAGCCAGTGTAATCCTCTCAGCCAGGCTGCAGGCAGCGTGATGTAACAGGAGCTTTACGCTTCGAAGTACCACGGTCAGTGCTGTGAACATGTCTTTTCTTTCAAGTTACTGATACTCACAGAAGAACCGCTGTTTTGGCGGAGATTAGCAGTTATGAAACAAAAAAAATCCCTACGTGGCATAGAAGTGAGGCAGACCCTTTTCTAGTTAGCAAAATCAACTCCAGGAACTGAGAACAAGTTTCCCTCCCCACACATCTGACATATTTAAAAGCTCTGAGCCTAAAAAGAAAAATCAAAACGAAAACCCAAAACCTACACCCAGTGTAAGACACATTCTGACTGACAGGCTGGAAATATATTTCACGTAGTCTCCCATTAACTCCATCATTCAGTTTATCAGTCCTTGATTTCACTTTAATAATTAACCATAAAAGTTAACTTTCATTTTGGTAGTTTGGCTGTTACTTGAAATGCCTAGGAGAACTCAAAATATTAAGTTACTCAGAGGTATTCAGAAAAACAGATCTAATACAGTGTTGCACTTTTTTTCCCCCCCCCCCTCTAAAGTCCAATTTAACCATTTACAACTTTTAAAATCTGCTTTTAAATCCTACTGCCTGGACTACTATTTGAATTAGATTATTTCACCACTAATTTTCGTCTCCCTTTAAGGGTGCCAGATTGGGGTTGGGGTTTCATGGCAAACTCTAATGATGATTTGGTAATAAGAGAAAAATTGTATTTAATTTCAGTTCAGGTTTAACAAGCACAGATTTTAATTCAAGCCTATTACAATAGGAGGCAGAAGGCGGCATAACTGCAGGGAACAAGGAAGTTCATTCGTTTTACCAAGTAGCCCTCACACCTCCCAGCCGTGTCGTCTCCAGTTCTGCACCTTGGATGACTCTCTAGGATAACATGAGCCTCTCCTAGCTCCAGCCCAGTTACCCGCAGCTATCGACTGGGTGGATTCTCTCTCCTGGAAAAAAATTCTTTGGCCTGAACAAAGCAACTATTTCAAAGCGCCATTTTGTTCTTGCTACCGCCTAAGACCGTAAGAGGAAAAACAGTTAAATCCCGCAAGTATAGAAGTACTACTTCCCTTTTCATTGCTAATGTGATACGAAGGCCTAAAGCCAAAACCTTTTTTTTTTTCAGGTTTATAAAGTAGGTCTTAATGTTTTCTAGCAAGATCCAATAGAACACGAATATGCGCGCTTCTGCTGTAAAAGGGAGCATATTTTAAGGTATGCTTCCCTTAGATTTTAGTTCAAAGATTCCAATGTATTCCAATGAAAACAATACAAAAAATTGCAATGAGGACTGACAATAACAACATTACATTTGTTCTAAGTTACAGGCCCAAGTTAAATCAGCAAGGATAACCATTAATTTCATAAATCATACTATTTACCAATTACAATCCTTTCATTCATCTTAAAAAGCTATAACATCAGACCTCAGAACGTCATTAACCTAGTGAATTTTTCTGACGTACTTCAGACTACAAATGCTGAAATACAAAATGGACATATTGGGGTATTTCCTAAGAAACTGTTCTAGTTAAATACAGAAATTAGAGGAAAAGGAAGCAGCAGATTGGTATGTCACTCTAATGTTTATTTACATCCAACTTCTTCCTGTACTTACTGATAAAAACTTCATCTGTCTGCCCCTGTAATTCACTGGCCCTCCTGTTTTAAGAGCATATTTAAAGTTAAAGTTAAAACAAACAAATAAAAACAGAATCGCAGCACATGAATCTCTCATTTTACTTTCAGGTTCCCAGGACTCCGAACAAGCCCACTTTGTCTCAGAAAACAAAAAGATTCTTGGATTAGCCTTGTTACTGCTAACAAAATTAGCTGTTACTGAACAAAATTAGTTTTTCCCTTCCCACAGGAAATTAAGAAGAAAAAAAGTTTTCCCATAACTAAAAGGCTTTGCTTGCTTCCTTTTGATCAAGTCACCATAGGTTTAAATCTATTTCCTCTGTATATTTTCTCTTTCCACTAACAATTTTAATTCCTCGATTTTCTACTTCTGCAATATCCTATTAAGGCAGATAATTGGACCTGAATTTGATAAGAGCAGATTATGAGATTCCTCCTACACAGGACGTGGTGAATGTCAACGGCTCCACAGACAATGTGCAAAGATCAGTATGATGGCATCACCTTTTTTTTTTTTTTCTTCCCACAGAATCAAAAGAAAGGAGCCCCAGAGCCCTTGTAAAATAATGCATACAGTCATTCAGAAAAGAGCCTAAATTAACGTAGGCATCCTGAAACATACTGATGCATTCATCACCTGCATTGGGTATTAAATTTCTGAGATTAACAGAAGCTTAAAACAAACGGGAGGAGGTTTAACCAAGGCACCAGTAGGTTGGGGGACCTAATAGTAATAGAAGGAAATTGTCCCTGCAACTGTAGCTGGGAATATAACAACTTTTCCTGGACAGGTTTGCAGCTCCTGGCGTGTCGGCTGAGGCAGTGCCCCGGGTAGCTACAGAGAAGCAGCAGTCCATTTGAAAAAAAGAAGTTAACTGCTCTCCGCTACTTTATTCCATGGGGAATTATCGGGCTTT